GCAGCAAACCTATTGGCTCCGTGGTCTAACAGGTGACGAACAAGCGTGCCCTCGGTGTCGTAGGCAGCAGCCAGATGTAGCGGGGTGCACCCATAGCGGTCGGCAGCGTTCGGATCTGCACCCAGCTGGAAAAAAGAATGGCTAAGAAAGAGAGCGATTTGAGCGAGGACCACATTACGACATCATTGGGGTTGCTGTTATTATTTTTAGACAGATTACTTCCGTCCCTTGGCCGCCCAGGTTCATTTGGGTCAAGGAAGCGACCTCGCAGAATTTGGTAAGCAGAGGTAATAACATTCGCACGCACTAGGACAAAGCCTAGTCAAGCGAATAAGTAACACTTGCCTTGAGGAGAATGAGAGCCACCTCGGAGGCGTAGGTAGCGGAGGTGACGGCAGGACCATGGCGAGGCGGATCAACTCCGCCATAGTGTAGCTCCACAGTGCGCGACACAATAGCCAAATGCAACGGGGTGCGGCCCTCGCGATCCACTGAGAAGGGATTCACGCCGGCAAAGAGGACCAATCGGAGACAGTCAACACTGCCACCGAGAGCTGCCGCGTGGATGAGGTTCCTGTCATGCGCGTCTTTCAACTTCACCACATGACCGTACTCAGCGGGGAATTCACTGCCACCCGTCTGAGTGGCGTCAATAGGGGTGGGGGTCTTCTCGGAGCGTGAATTCCAGTCCTTTGCAGCGGCCTCCAATAACCTAAACAGAGATTATTAGGAAAATGTGACAGATTTGAATATTTCAGTTGAACCAATTGTGAAAAATTCGGAGCCTCGGTGGGTGTCAGACCCACACAGCAGGGAAGGCTTGTTGTACAGCCAACGCTCTACCATTGAGCTACGAAACTCACCGTAAGCCGTGAATTTAATCAGACTTGGGTCGATATTACCAGCCCAACTTTACCGCTCGTATGGAGTCCACCATTACGGATACAGTAAGCTGACTGCCCAAGAAGGATTTCCTAAGCGATCATCTAGAATCCGCCAGAATGACTACTAAGCTCACTTACTTATCAGAAAGTTTTGACGGATTTTAATATTTCAGAAATGCAAACAGGAGAGTAAGCAGCGAAACCGCAAGAGGGAGGAAAACAGCGTCTAGTTGCAACACCAAGGTGAAATATTTCCAAATAAATTAGTTAACTCGCA